AGTAGGTAGTGTAAATAGGTATTTTTCTTTGATTAACTAAAGTTAAAGTTCGTTTTAATTTTTTTTCCAAGTAATTTTTTTACAGAGTCGTGATCAGAATAAGCTACTTATCAACTCCCTAAATATGGCGAGGATTGAAAATAACACCCTGTATACACAATCTTGATCAGAATAAGCTACTTATCAACTCCCTAAATATGGCGAGGATTGAAATTAACACCCTGTATACACAATCATATCAAGTGATACAAATTAAAGCACTTTTTAGAATTCCTGTATCTTTCAATTGGGAATCTATAGAATTATTAGAAATAGTTTCTATTCTAGAATCGAATAAATATATAACTGCCAAAATTAACACGGTTCAAAGTGGCGTGGCGTCGGCCGACCTTCCGGAAGGTCCTCGGCTTCGAAGGCTTCCGTTAAAGTTGTAGAAAGCCGTTGGATGCAAGTCTTCTTCTAACTGGCTAATCTGGAAATCATTGAAATAAAAATGAAATCAAATCAAATTGTTTATTCAGCGACATAAAATCATCAAGAAAAACAAAATTAAAACTAAATAAAGTAATGTGCGTGTCACCGAAACGGTATCCACTCAGCATCATGCAGAGGACGTAAGGGACACCACGACTTTGGTCTTCCGAGAAAGAAATGTTGGGACATATTATTAGTATGCCAATATTATGTATAACCATAGAAAGGATCGGTTTTAACGATTTTTCAAATAGTCCAAAATCGACTTAAGTTGAAGTTTATCTGATAGATGTGGCTTTAATGTAAAAATAATGTTTGTTTCCAGTACATGCAAAAAGCAGTCGGAAATCCTCTCGTGCGTCAACACTGGGATAGACGCAGTTTCGCTTTGCAGCGATTCAAAGATACAAGCAAAAATTAATGAGACCAAGCAGGGATTCGTAGAAGCCACCGACCTGTTCTGCAAAGACGACTCCAAGGCTTTTAGCGGTAAGAAAACAATATACATTTTGTTAGACTTACTAAGTATGGGCCCCATAAGAAGGCTCAAGCATAAATAAATAAAATCGGAAAGCTCACAGGGTGCCGGCAGGTTTTGTAACATTGCTTTTTCTTATTCTTTTGTTTAACCTATTTAGCCTATCACCAACCGGATCCCCAGGTCCGAAAGCCGTTGTAGCGACGAACGCTGTTGCAAATTTTTTTTCCACTGCTTCATAGGCTCGGAAGCTTATGGACTCAAATTTCAGCGTTCGTCGCTATAACGGCTTTCGAACATACGTAGTGGACCCCAAAAACGACCTGTCTCACCAGGCGCCAAGATTATATGTATATGTACGAGTATATCGCCTGGATATTTCCAAAACAAAACTAAACCCAGAAAGATTTGAGATAATCCTGACTCAAGAAGGTGTCACCATACATTTCAATAGCGAACGTACAAAAATCATTTGTACCTACTGCACAGTCCCGTTAACCCCCTCGTGCTAATTCCAGAGTTCATCAATGACGGGGCCCTTCAATGCATGTTGGATCAACGCCTACAGCTCACGAATAGATGTATGAGACAAATCCAGACACTTTCTAACTACAAGACTTTAACCACCGAAGTAAGTACCCTAAAGAATGAATTATATAAGTAGTAAATAGGGTTGAGGATACTCTGCAATTAACATTTTTTAACTTTGTTACACAACTGAGTTTTTAGAGTAACTACGCACACCGTTGATTTTTCGTCGGCCGATAGTTTAATCGGGCAGTTGATCAGTATGGGGATGTATGGGAGTGCGCACACTACGCCGATTCAATTTGGCGGATTCTTCATACAAATTAAAATCGGGCCTAACTATCGGCCGACGAAAAATCAACGGTGTGCGCCTACTCTTAATGGTGTATTTGTTACGGTCAAAGTGATAAATGTGAAAATTATGAATAATCGCCGGTTATTATGAATAATTACCGCATGAGTTGGTAAATGTGATTATTAATATAAGATCATTTATGTGTGTATAAAACTAAATAGGCGGCTTAGGGGTGGCCCAAGGGCCACCCCCGCCGCACCTTAACCTATTTTTCACTTTAAATCAAAACAATATGTTATAGGCATTATGGCAAAGTAATGTTATGCAAAAACATTCCAAACTCATTTTGCCAAATAATATTAATATAGGTATGATATCAAAACGTTCAAAATGTGAGGCTGTACATGAGCGCTGTACACGAGCCGGTGTTCTCTTTTATGGTATTTGTTAGTATTAAGGTTACATTATGAAATAATCACCGATAAATGTGATTAATTTATCACTTTTACCAAGCCTGTCGGTAATTATAACCGGCGATTATTCATAATTTTCAATTTATCACATTAACCGTAACATATTTACCATTACATTATAAAATATAACCTGAAAATTTTGAACTAAATGCCTAATGCGGGAACCCAGAAGTGACTCTAATCGCTAAGAAATTTCAAAACTAGCCATTGCATGATGATGGCGACATGCATTTTGTAAAGTTAATGCATATCATCAGGAAAAAATTAAATTTACATCAGTACTTAACTGTGCAATATGCAATCTCCACTTGCACTGTAGGAGAGCACCCTCTCTATTTTACTTGAGGCAGATTTTAGGTTTAAGTTAAAAAAGATATTGAAAATTAAGAGCTAGGTGGTAGGTATGAATGTTGTTTGACTCCTATATAAGTAAGAGTTTTCCAGTGACATGGCCCACTTTTAGCTTGGTCCACGGGCCAAGTCACTGGATTGAATTTTTAAATATTTTTTCTTCCAGCACTGGGCCCGTTCTAAGATTCTAGAGTAGATTTTTGTTGATTTTGATCTTTAATTTATTAACGAAAGTGGGCTCAGTTACTGGAAGATAAAATATTTAAAAATTCAATCCAGTGACTTGGCCCGTGGACCAAGTTAAAAGTAGGCCATGTTACTAGAAGACTCTTTATTAATTTTCACTTTTTGTCTATCTTATCACAGCAAGCGTGTGTCAGCGTTAACGGGTTCACGAGCTGCTTGATGGACGTCCTGGAGTCCTGTCCAAAAGCCTCCACCCCGGCCTTCGTCCGTTCGCTGTTCAGAGCTGTCTACAAGGGCTCGTACTGCGAGTTCCCTGAGGAGGACAAAAAAATTCAGGACAATGTACGTGTTTAAGCATTTTTCTTAAAAGATCCCTAGTAGGTCCAGTCAACTCCAGTTTCGATGCCTGTGGTTAATCCTGCTAGTCCTACTAATATTATAAGAGCCAAAGTTTGTATGGATGTTTCTTACTCTTTCACGCAAAAAATACTGAACTAATTTTGGTGAAACTTTACATTATTATTGTTTATACCTACATTATTCTTAACTGAATTTCACACGAAGCCGCGGGCAAAAGCTAGTGTTATATGTAATAATTTATTTAATATTTTTGTTTCAGACGATTTAATCGCGGTCAATCAATCCTGACCCAGTGCTGCCAAAGATTCTTAAAATATCTAAATAAATATTAGTAGATCATAGCGTTTGATTTTCATATTTCAATAACCTTATCATTTCCTGGCCGGAACGCGTCTTCAAGGCAGTGATTCTGTGATTTCGTTGGCGGGTCAATTGCAAGGTCAATTTATTCTGATGACAATGATTTAAAAGTCATTTTTATTTCTAAATTGCTAAACCTTACTTTGTTAAGACAATAAAAATTTGACTCATATTCATTGTTTTATTTTGATTTACAAAGCATAGTTCTTGTTGAAAAACCCTATAGTGTACAATGTAGCATCACTAATTTTTACACAAATATTTTTTTAACTAAGTATTTCAATCATCGGTCTATTAGCTTTCAAAACATTAAAGTAGAAAATGAAGCATTTAAAGTGAAGCTGAAGGAATCTTTATTATAATTTTTGAGAGCGCTATACTGGCATTCTGAGAAGTTTTTTTGATTCCAAAGCTGCAAGGATCACGAGTATAACTGCAGCACTTGGTTGCTTGGGGATACGTATCACACTTCAAATTAATAGAGCATCCACCTGGATGGGTAAGAGACATGTTCACACAAAAAGTAACTCCTATCACGCAGGGAATAGGGATGACATCTCTTGGCCACCAAGAAGCCCCGATTTCACTCCAGCATTCTTCTTTTTGCGTGGTTACCTTAAGAGCAGAGTGTGTACTCTAATAATCCAACAAATGCAGCAACTGAGCTGAAAATTCGGCAAGAAATGGTATCAATTTCAAGGATAAATAGGTACCTATAACGAAAGTCTCAAAATATTTTTATGTCAGACTGGAAGATTGCTGCAACTGCAACTATCAAGAAAATACTTGGACGAGTAATTTGTAAAAAGTAGTTTAAAATTATTTATTCAAATTGTAATGTAAGAACAATGGGACAAAACGTCTTCAGAACTGTAGCACTTTAATACCACCTACCTCATAATAATATGATAGACCATGCTAATACTATAATTTTATTTTAAAACAGCTCACTTTTGATCAACTTCAAGGGGTATTACGACAGCTTAACCCCTGCGACAACTCAACCCCTATGACAATTTGATTTTTTTGCAACACTCAACACTTTTGACTTATCAGTTGGTGCTGCTTTCACGACTGCTGGATCGCCCCGGGAGCAAAGCCATGCTACGCCGCCACTACTGCGACAATTCTTCATACGCGTGGATCCCGTTTTACCTCCTTAGGGGTGGAGTTTCGTAAAATCCTTTCTTAGCGGACGCCTACGTCATTAACATCTACCTGCAAATTTCAGCCCGATCCGTCCAGTAGTTTGGGCTGTGCGTTGATAGATCACTATGTCCGTCAGTCAGTCACCTTTGAGTTATACGTTATAATAATATGTACCTATATTTAGGTCCCATTGTTCTTTTATAGAAAATTATACAGGTGGGTTTTTCCTTGAATTTTCTGTAGCTAGTTAGGTTTATTCCTCATTAACAGGAATATTTGCCGGATAATTTGATAACAAACGTTGATTAAATTTCCATAAACAGTAACTACAGTGGTCAGTTAATAATTTATTGCGAAACAACAAGTAGGCACCCAGGTACAAAATGTTGCTGAAATTAATTGCCGTTTGCGTGGCGATTGCAGGTTCGTAACTTTGAATACACGTGTAAATATTATTTACCGCGCTTTTACGCCCGTACAAACTTTACTATGAGGTCTCACAGTGCGCGTGGACGCACAGGGTGACACACGAACCAATCACTGAGCTCTATTCAACGCTGTGCGTTCGATTTGTTCGATTTTGCGATGCAAGCATCGTTTGTGAATACGGGTGTTATTGACTTTGATAAGTAAATTACAGTATTTATTCTATGCTAGTATTTATTTTAAGTAGTACACCAACTAAAAAAGTAATTGGGGTTCTTGCATCTACGCGACTTCGTAAGCATGGATCCCGTTTTTTTTACCCCATTTGGGGTTGAATTATACCAGGAGTATTATTCTCTGATAAAAGTTTGGTCGAATCGGGCCTTAATGTAGAAAACCACATTTCGATAATATTCATGAAAGAATCTTTTAAAAGCACTTATGAGTTGTAATTGAAAATAAATACGTCATTCATTAGAAAAATTAAATTAAATCCTAAAAGTCATCATGTCCGTGTATCTTTTCAATTCTTCAGGTGTGACGGTTGAATGTGAATCAGCGTTGAACCATCCGAGTCCCTTCGACCAACAGGTCCTGAACCTAACCCTGCAATGCAAGCCGGTTGGCGCCAAAGAACACACAGTCGATGTCGTGGTATGTATCGTTCGTTCGTTTCAGCCAAATGACGTCTACTGCTGGACAAAGGCCTCCCCGGATTTCCATAACGACCGGTCTTGCGCTACCCGCATCCAGGTTCTTCCCGCGACCTTCACCAGATCGTCGGTCCACCTGGTCGAGGGCCTGCCCACGTTACGTCTTCCGGTCCGTGGTCGCCACTTTTCTGCCCCAATGGCGTGGTATGTACCTATACCTGAGTATACTTCTAATTTCAACCCGAGTCGTCCCCCAATGATTTCCATATAATGATAGGTTGGTAGCGGCCTGCATCCAGCGCCTTCTTGCTTTGTAATTTTATGTACGAAACATATCAATATTTTTTTATATAATACTAGCTGACCCGGCGAACTTCGTACCGCCTTAGCGTAGAGATTTTCTTAATATTTTTTTCCGTAAGAACCATCTTTGGACTTCCACAAACATTTAAAAAAAAGAATTATCGAAATCGGTTCAGCCGTTCACACGTGATGCCGTGACAACGCGAAACGGGTTTCATTTTTATATATATAGATTGCAGAAGGCATCCTCCCATATAGAAGCTCTAGAGACCTGCGTAGTGGACATATTAAAGAAATGCCCCGAGCCCCCAAGCCCTCGCTTCGTCGAAGAAATGTTTGACGACGTATTTGAGTTAAGTCACTGCAAGTCGGCTACTAGAAACACCCCCCTCAGTGTATTTTATATAATAATAATTCTTTATCATTTATTAGGATTTTTTATTAAATACTTTTTATAAGGTTATCGTAATCTGTGTCTCATTATCAAATTGCACGACAGAATCTTTCAGGTTTTAAAAAATTACCTAAGTACTCAACACTAACTTTGTGTTACACCCACCAAATGTTATAGGTATATTGTACGGACGGTGGTTTCAACGGCCTTTTCTAAGGCTTTTGATTGTGTGATACATTAAATACTTTTAAAGCTTGAACATGTATGCCCTAAAACTAATGAAATCGTATTTGACAAACAGAACGCAGTCAACAATATTGGATACCTACTTAAAAAATAGTATAATAATAACAGTGCTGTCTAATTTCGATAAAGTCTACATTGGCGTACCACAGGGCAGGATAGTATACTGGGGCCTTTCTTATGTTTAGATTTCTTATATGAGCCCTTGATTTATTAATCACTTATGTGCCATGTTTACTGATGCTGATGATGCTATGATTATTTATGTAGAGATAAAGTAAACAATAACGAACTTGTATAAATATGTCTGTATTTTAGAAAAATAATAAGGATAATTTCTATGAAATAAAGTAAAACTAAAAAGAATTTGTGATCTCAACATGCTTTCAAATTTTTATTTTGTAATCATCGAATTATTTATAGCAAGATGATATGATTACAGGAACTCGGGTATTTATCTATTTGTCTAATTGCCTTACTAAAAGCACTAGAAAACTCACAATTTAAACAGAAGTTGAAAGACAGCTGCAACAACGTTAACATTTAGAAAAATATGTCGATACATAACATGTTCATATGACATAAACACTGTACCTAAGTTTCTTTTTTATTTGAGGACGTCTCATTATCCTCTTTTTTGTCTGGTGGCGGCTGTGACAACGGATCTCCGAGTCCTGATGACTGACTCGACTGATGTTTGACATCGCTCTTTCCTTCTACTGGGCTGCCAATGTCTTGATCCTGGGTAGAATGTGAATATGATTCCGCAATCATTGCAGGAGGTACAACCATCTTCCGTGGCGCTGTTAAATGGTTTTCACAATAGAAATAGATAGTGTAGAAACCGTCGAACTCCGTCTTTGTTCTTCTGATTAATTTAGTTGCGGGTCCAATGACAGTTTTACTTTCCCCCGGGACAAACTTGACCTTCACTGGTTGGGTTTTTATTTTTATTGGCGGTCAAGCTGTAGATCCTAGCTACACAGGAGTTGCAGCGGTGGGTACGAGTAAGGAAAACACTGAATAAGTCGCGATGAAGGTACGACTATGTAGTCGTGCTGGTAAGTACGCACGATAATTGTTTACAATTACCTAACCATTATGAAATGGAATCTGTTATGTAGGTACTGTACTGTACTGGAGTTCTATGGTTCTCAAAGTCTGCTCGTCAAGCATGTCGGCAACCTAAGGCAATAACATAACCCCTACTATATTTTTGAATGATGTCCTTAATAAGCGCTTTATCACTGAACTCTGTAAGCAGAGTCGATAAAAACAGTAAACAGCCAAGTCATTTACCTACTGTTTGGCAACTACGTAATTGCCAGACAGTTTAATGGGTGTAAAATATTTAAAAAAAATATTTTCGAAACCCAAAAGCAAAACCTAATTATTGTTATTAAAACACTGTCACAATATTGGTATAAGTATTTGGTTCATCACGAACAAGCTTGGAACATTGAAGTAATATTAATACTGTATGTAAGTAGTACATTTATATTTATATCTCAATGGTTTGAGAGCCTTTGCTCCAATGACGCCAATTACGGGTATTTCTTCGGAGGCAAAATTTTCGATGTCTTTGGGTATAGTTCTGTAACCAACTAACAAAATGGCATGCAATATTTTTTTTCGTATAGCTTAGCTATAGCCCTATCTGGCGCAAATTACATTTTTTACATAATTGCTGTCTTTATACAAAATAAAAATATTTGAAGTGTGATTCTCTGATTCATATGGTGTGTCCGTTAGCCATTTTCCGGAACAAAATGGTTGATGTAGCATTTTCCTTTTGATATATCAATATAAATTAAAATTATTTCGAAAGCTAATGAGTTGTCCTTCTACAAAAAAAATGTGTCATAATTTTAATTAAGTTAGTTTGTTCGCAAAAAAATAAATAAGCAGTGTCCGGCATAAAATACTGATTCATATGGCGTGAGCTGTTCTTGACCATAACTGGTCAGGTTTTAATCATGAGAGTCTGGTTTCTGGCGTGGAGGCAAGCCCATCTTGCAACGGATGATCTAGAAGGCAGACGTGGAGCTGGTTGGCTTAGAACCCGGTGTGACGAAGGCAAATACTTGATTCATCTGTGCTTGGTTCAGGTGGCATGCTGATTACAATGCCTACTTTATAAAATTACATTATTGCATTAAAAATCTAATCTGTCTTTCTTGTGATGCTTTTGGGTTATAGATTCATGTAGAAAAATGACAACACTGTAGTCTGTATGTATGACGAGTTTTGCTCGATTTTAGGCAAAAAACTGATTTATCTGTGCGTGATTCATATGGTCAGGGCCCTATATGAATCATAAAATAAATTAGTTTTTGATCTTTCAAGCACCAAAAAAGGGTTTTTTAATTAAGAATGACATCCCAGACTGCATATCACTTTAAGACCAGGGGCGATTGCGGTCTTGTTATGATAAAAAAAAACATTATCATTTGTGTTTAAACAGTAAATAAGTAGTATATCCGTTAAGCTAGCAACCATAACACAAGCATATTTGTTGCTTATTTTGTAGCTAAATGGCGCTGTATGAAATTGCCCAACGATTTATTTATTTTTATTATTATTTCAGCTACACTTATGGCGTCCATAGCACATAATACTAAACTGCTGAGCATAGGCCTCCAATGATTTCGAGATTAACTGATTGCCATTGCCACAACCTCTATAAGCTCATCTCACCTTCTTCACCTTGTAGGTGGACGTCTTAACAACAATAGCTTGGATAAGTGATACAGCTCGGTAGAGTCATCTAAAATACCTTAGTGCCATAAGATGAAAGTCTACATCCAGTGTGTGTTTATCAATGATGACAAATTGTATTGAAAAGCGGCCTCTCACTGTAGGCTTACGAACCACAAAGTTGCATAGTGTACTATGGAGTGGACTATGCTTTTTTTTTTTATGCAATCGAATCTGAAATGAGGAGATCCGTAAACGATCTAAAGTCGCATGGTGGAATAGTCCGATATTTTAGCAAACTGAAGTGATAATGGGCAGGACACATAGTATACAGAAATGATGGCCGATGGGATACCACGTTTCTGGAGTGGAAGCTACGTGCCGGAAAGCAGTGTAGAACGTCCTCCCACAGGAAGACGCAGGATGCAGGCCGCTACCAATCGGTCATTATGTAAATCATTGGGAGAGGCTTATGTTCAGTTGAAATGATTATGATGATGACAAAATATTATGGATGTATAATAAAGTTTCAAAAAAATGTTTTTTCACGAATTATTTTGGAATCGTTGCATTTTTTCATAACAACAGATCATTGTTTTTGTTATAATATGATTATTTTCTTAATTTAGAGCCAATTGTACACGAATATCATAAATTTTATTTCTATTTTTGATTAATATGTAACAAATTCTGATTCATATGGGCACAAAATATTTGAACGTCGATATCTTGAAAACTACTTTACAAAAACGAGTCCCTTATCCAAATGTATGTTATTGGGTGTACCTATTTTCATATGAGTCTATGTTACAAACCTAAAATTGAATTTGAAATTTGTCCATATGAATCAGCCGAAGAATGCGATTTCGAAGAAGTGCCCTTACCATTTTTCCTGTCGATAAAATAATTCCTCTCAGTTCGGTCAGAACACTATTGTTTGCGTAACTTTATTTTTGACGTCAGACAGAAGTATCCCTTCTAAACTCACAGTTATGACCAAGTGCTTGTCTACAATAAGGAAAGGTTTGTATTTTTGTATGTTTGTATTGAATAGACTCCGAAACTATTGGATCGGAAAGAATCTAAATCGAAAATATGAAAGAAAAAATCTTTTATTATTAGAATTCAATTTTTTTAGACTTATTTTTCTTTCTTCCTTAAAGTTAATGAGTTCTCAACACATGCCAAAATAAAGTATTAAATAATTTCAAACAAAAATCTCTTAGGAAATGTCATTTATTAAAACTTTAAAAAAAACAAATTATTTCCATTATGTACCCAAATTAAGGTTATGAATGCATTATAAATGTAAGAAGCTTGTACTTAACCAGGATCAGTCGACCTGAGTCGGTGATCGTGGCGACACAATCACATAATGTTATCTGATTTTTATTGTTTATGTACATAGGTGCTTGTGTATAACTTAATATTATCTGCAGTTATTCGTCTGCGACACTGTTATTGTAGCTCCAAATCAGCATATGACTATTAACGATACCGACGCGACTGTCTCTAGTTTTGTTCTGTTTCAACTGCTGCAGTTCAGGTGTGGCTGGTTTGGTTTCCATTTCTTTGCCCACACTCTTAGAGCAAACCAACGTTAGTACACACAACACAATTAACATTTTTAAACAGCCGTGATACTCCATGGTTTTTAAAGAAAAGAGCGTACTTGATGCAGAGCAAAAAGCTTGTAAATACTGAAATCACAAAGCGGATTCGTAACATGAGCCATTTGCTATCGGCCAAAGCAGCATTCTGATATAAAAATGGGGCGTAGCTATTATCTGCATCAGAATTTCTTAGGGCTGCCATAATCAAAATTGCCATGATATTTTCACTATGGTCAAAATTTGAAATATCTAAGGGGGCCAGGATGATATCTGGCCAGTAGTGTGAGTAGTGTAGGTCAAATCCTTCATTCACTTCTGGAAAATTTGAAAGTGTGTTCCTGCAGTGGAGACGAAAATGACCTGATGATGATGAAATACCTATACAGGGTGGAAACGTTAAGTGATCTCACTCGATTATTTCTAAACTATACAAGATATCGAAAAAATG